TGCTAAATTAGGGACGGCTAGCGCAGATAGCCTTCGTGTAGCTTTGCGCAAAAATTCAAAACAAACAAGCAATCATAGAAAATTTAGGAGACGAAATGGCAGTTTATTAATTTTCCAAAAAAGTGTCAACCTGTTTTAAAATTAGAGGGAAGCTACTATAAATGTCTTTATTTCGGGGGCGGACGTGTCCTACTGGCAGCGTGCCTGGCTGTGGATCAAAAGATTCAAGTCACGATATGTCGCTGAAAACACTACGCCTATTAGATGTGAGGGGGGGGGGCTGATGATCACGAGAGTTAAAATCCTGCTATACCATTGAAAGTAGTCGCTTGGGCGGAAGGCGCTATTTGCTGTTCGCCTTCCCTCTGGTCAGAAGTTTTTAATTAGGACTGTCTGTACCTGAAGTTTAAGGTCTCCCTTTAGGTCATGCGTCACAAGTTAAAAACACCGGTTTTAATTGTTTGTTTAAGAGCAAAGTTGCAGAATAGACTACCTGAGCTCTGTCCAACACGGGGAATCGAACCCAAGATTTTAGTGATGTAAGTCCGTAAACTTATTGCTGACCCACCGGTTGTGAAAAGAAGTTCCTTGTATACTCGGTTAAATAATCGGATATACATTTCTACGTGATTTGTATTTAATCATTCTATGTAGAATTGGGAGCGAACTTAAGCATTGCTTTAGTTAAAGTGACTCTCCCACCAATGATTGACTTAACTAGGTTTGAAATGGTTTAATAATGTAACATCAAATCTGCTTCATTTGCACAAAAATGTTTGCGATTCAGTTCATGACACCATTTTCGTTATAGCATTAGTTTTTATTACTTGTTCATTTGTTTTAAAGCAAAGCCACATTGGGCTATCTGCTGTGTCCGCCGCGGGGAATTGAACCCCGGATTTAACGTTGTAGGTCCGTTGACTTATCGCTGCCCCACCGGAGGGCTTATTTTCGTTATTGAAATTTGAACCTTTTTTTTTTTTTCAAATGCAATCGGTGAGGTTTAGGTGAAAGACTTGGTTTGACGTGATAGTTTCACATCCAGTGAAACCATGTACTAATGTTTTGTTGCTAAAAACGTTACAATATTTGGATCCGAATCTGGTTTGATGTTATATTCAGTGAATCCTTATCAAATGCTCTTTGCTAAACATATAACAAACTTTGGATCTGGTTGCATAGTTTTGGTTTAACGCGTACCTCCCAGAGAATCTATGCTGTTGTTTTGTTGTTAATCATGTCAAAGACTAAATCTGAATTACTTGTTGTTGTTATTTCTTAGGCAAAGAGTTAAAAAATGAAAAATAGCGAGACAAATTTTTTTGTTAAAAAACCGGAAGTTACCCACGTTAACTATAAGTTCTTACCTCTTACGGACCTCCTAATTCACTGAAAACTGATTGGTTTGTTACTGGAAACCTGGCGGTATTTGTTTTCTTTTTTCTGATGTTTCAATCTGTACACCTTCATCGAAGTGACCAGTGTTGCTTACACCAACTCTCAAAATACCGACTCGTTTTTATGACGGTACTATACACAGTTTGTATCATATTGAGTAGCTTTGCGTTCTTGTTACCTACAACAACAACAAAAAATAATAATTAATAGTATATTATTTTAAAATAAACACATAAATAGTGTTCAAATAATCTTTACCCTAATTCTCATGTCTTGATGAAAAATTACAATTCATTCACCAACTACACCAGTTCACACCGTAACAGTTGTTTTCAAGCAATCTGATAATATAAATAGCCTCTCAAACATGAACGTTGTATCTGAACCACCCTGAAGAGTCCTGGTACTGAGCGAAAGGCCACGTTGGCAGAGGATAAAGCGTGATTGACATATTGTTATACACTCTTCTTTAATTTCATTCAGTAACGCTAGAATCCGGGTTTCGATACCCGTGATGGACAGAGCACAGATAGCCCATTGTATAGATTTGTGCTTAATTGCAAACAAACAATTTCAGTCAGAAGTTCTTATTAATAACACGAGTGTAAAGCACTATGGGGAATTATTTTATAAACAAAGTCCACAGAAGACCCAAGAAATAATCAATGCTAATATTGATGATATTTATATTTACACTTTTTTATATGATTCATTTGTTTTTAGGGACCCTATAATCAATAAGGTCCTAAGAATAACTTCGTTTACACAAAGTTTAGAAAAATATGTTAAAAAAGCTAATGTATAGACTCCATCGGAAATTCATCAATTTTGGTTCTTTGAAGGTTAAAGACGGCTATCCTAATAAATTAGTGTGCTGTAGAGGTCCAAGGTTCGAATAGATGTGCCGCTAAACATATGCTCCTTACTTTTAGTTGTTGGGGTGTTATAGTTACGAATGATCACCCTCTCATCATAAATTGCAAATTATGGATGGATATACCTGAACCTTAGGCCTAGCAGTTTATCTAGCACATAACGTTTTGGGATAACATGGGACTTACTGGTCCATCTCGACTGTTCCATCCTCTAAACTAATTTAAAATAATTAAAAACCATTTCTTAATGCCAGCCTTTATCATTCATATACTTATCAAGCTTTTTCTTAAACTCACTTAAATTTAATGCCTCTACAACATCAAAAGGCAACTCATTCCAAAGGCCAACCACCCTGTTAGAAAAATAAAACGGTCTTAGCTGAAGATGACTCCGACCTTGCCAAAATTTATATTTGTGTACCTAGTCGTACTATTCTTACTGTTAAATATAAAAAATGATAATACATCAAGACTATCAATTCCCTTTACAATCTTAAACACCTCAATCAGATTACCCCCTCAAAACTATTATTTTTTCAAGAGAAAACAACCTGAGAGATTTCAGCCTCTCCTCGTATGCTTTCATCCCAAGCACCATTCTAGTAACCCTTCTCTGAACCCTTTACAACAATTCAATGTCCTTCCTAAGGTAAGAAGCCCAAGATTGAACACAATATTCCAAATGTGGCCTAACCAGTGACATGTACAATGAAATTATAACCTCTTTAAACTTGTATTCAATATTTCTGTAGATACAACCTGAAATCATATTTTCCCTACCACTAGCAACAGTACATTGCTTGGATGGCTTTAGAGACTGAACGACTATTACACCAAGATCCCTTTCTTTCATGACACTATTAAGATTATTCCCATTTAAATTATACTTATAATTCAAATTATGATAACCTGCATGCATTATCTTGCATTTATTATAATTTAAGTTCATCTACCATATATTTGCCCAACTCACTAAATGATCTAAATCCTTTTGTAAATCAACAGCACCCTTTTCACAGCTAGCAACACCTAAGACCTTAATATCATCTGCAAATTTAAGTAATTTATTGACTATTCCTCCATCTATGTCATTGATGTAAATCAAAAAGAGCAAAGGTCCTAAGTAAGGTACCCCACTTGTGACAATAATCCAGTTTGATTGAACTCCATTTATAACAACCTTATGCTTTCTTTTATCCAGCCACTCTTCTATCCAATTTGCTAACTTATCCCCCACATCTATAGAGATATTTTTACAAGCCTTTTATGTGGCATCTTGTCAAATACTTTTTGAAAATCCAGATACACCAAATCTACACCCTTACCCTCATATACATAAACAGTAACCTTTTCAAAAAAATGTAAAAAGATTTGTAAGGCAAGATTTTTCCCTAAGTAGAAACCATGTTGACTATCCAATAGAATTCTAAACTTTGTTAAATGACTTTGCAAAGCATATTTTAACAAACTTTTCAAAAACTTTTCCAACAACTAATGGTACTATAGTTAC